CATGTTGCAAAAAAACGGTGCATTTACTGTAGCACTTGTACAAAAAAGACAAAACATTAATCTTGTGCATTTACACGTAGCACTCGGATTATGCTGGACACAGTGAATCTACTGATGTTTGGTTGTACCCTTTGTCCAGCCTCCTCATGGTCATACCATGAACAAGAACACGGTCAATCACAGTAGCTCTGATTTCATCAGATATTACTGTTCTTTGTCTTCGCTGACCACCTCGACCTCTTTCACATGAACTCTTCCTCTCAGACTTCTATCCATTGTAGGGCCTCACAAACCAGTGCTCTCTGAACTGGCTTACTGTATATGTTCCCCACATCATTAGCCACAAGTGTGATCAATTTCGAGTTGTTGTGTTCAAGTGGTGACAACTGTGCTTTAGTTGTGTTTGACTTTTGTCATCTGTGCTCACCATTATGCAGCACGGGTGCATCACAATGAAAAAGTGTTGACAAGTTGTGTCTAAACAGGTGAAAAGTGCTTATGGTTTCGCCAAAAGAGTGATTGATTTAATCAGTGGGTTTAGGCAACTGAGAATTTGGTTCAGACAATAGGCTTTAGTGTTTTAGCAATTGAGAAAAACTGTAATCTGCACGCACAAACATTTACAATCTGTTATCTTGTCGGGAGGCTCCTGTGGCGCAATCGGTTAGCGCGCGGTACTTATACAGCAGTATGCACCAGAGCGATGCCGAGGTTGTGAGTTCGAGCCTCACCTGGAGCAGTGGTATTTTTTAAACCAGTTTTTCGAATCTGCACGCACAAACATTTACAATCTGTTTGACTGTCACGAGGCTCCTGTGGTGCGCACGGTACTAATACAGCAGTATGCAGCAGAGCGACGCCGAGGTTGTGAGTTCCAGCCTCACCTGGAGCAGTGATACTTTTTAAACCAGTTTTTTTTGCAGTTTTTCTCGATTGCTAAGACAAATTTCTTGAAAGGTGCTCTCATTTTCTCTAAACTGTGAGCACAAAACCCAATTTTTAGCTACATTCACAAAACATCAGGCTCTTCTTGCAAAACCAAACTTTCACCTCAAAACAGTTCAATCTGTGCTCAAAACTGAACTATGTTGTCAAATCGTGTCCCGAGTCAATCAAAATTAAAAACACAACTGAACAGTCACTAAACACTACGTAGAAAAATGGAAAACACAATGGACAGGACATGAAGCTGAAGAAATAAATGTTTGTTGTTCACTGTAGGCTAAATGCATGTTGCAAAAAACCCCGGTGCATTTACTGTAGCACTTGTACAAAAGATAAAACATTAATCTTGTGCATGTACACGTAGCACTGGATTATGCTGGACAAAGTGAATCTACTGCTGTTTGGTTGTACCCTTTGTCCAGCCTCCCTCATGGTCATAACATGAACAAGAACATGGTCAATCACAGTAGCTCTGATTTCATCAGATATTACTGTTCTTTGTCTTCGCTGACCACCTCGACCTCTTTTCACATGAACTCTTCCTCTCAGACTTCTATCCATTGTAGGGCCTCACAAACCAGTGCTCTCTGAACTGGCTTACTGTATATGTTCCCTCACATCATTAGCCACAAGTGTCATCAATTTCGAGTTGTTGTGTTCAAGTGGTGACAACTGTGCTTTAGTTGTGTTTGACTTTTGTCATCTGTGCTCACCATTATGCAGCACGGGTGCATCACAATGAAAAAGTGTTGACAAGTTGTGTCTAAACAGGTGAAAAGTGCTTATGGTTTCGCCAAAAGAGTGATTGATTCAATCAGTGGGTTTAGGCAACTGAGAATTTGGTTCAGACAATAGGCTTTAGTGTTTTAGCAATTGAGAAAAACTGTAATCTGCACGCGCAAACATTTACAATCTGTTATCTTGTCGGGAGGCTCCTGTGGTGCAATCGGTTAGCGCGCGGTACTTATACAGCAGTATGCAGCAGAGCGATGCCGAGGTTGTGAGTTCGAGCCTCACCTGGAGCAGTGGTATTTTTAAACCAGTTTTTTTGAATCTGCACGCACAAACATTTACAATCTGTTTGACTGTCACGAGGCTCCTGTGGTGCGCACGGTACTAATACAGCAGTATGCAGCAGAGCGACGCCGAGGTTGTGAGTTCCAGCCTCACCTGGAGCAGTGCTACTTTTTAAACCAGTTTTTTTTGCAGTTTTTCTCGATTGCTAAGACACATTTCTTGAAAGGTGCTCTCATTTTCTCTAAACTGTGAGCACAAAACCCAATATTTAGCTACATTCACAAAACATCAGGCTCTTCTTGCAAAACCAAACTTTCACCTCAAAACAGTTCAATCTGTGCTCAAAACTGAACTATGTTGTCAAATCGTGTCCCGAGTCAATCAAAATTAATAACACAACTGAACAGTCACTAAACACTACGTAGAAAAATGGAAAACACAATGGACAGGACATGAAGCTGAAGAAATAAATGTTTGTTGTTCACTGTAGGCTAAATGCATGTTGCAAAAAAAAACCCGGTGCATTTACTGTAGCACTTGTACAAAAGATAAAACATTAATCTTGTGCATGTACACGTAGCACTCGGATTATGCTGGACAAAGTGAATCTACTGCTGTTTGGTTGTACCCTTTGTCCAGCCTCCTCATGGTCATACCATGAACAAGAACATGGTCAATCACAGTAGCTCTGATTTCATCAGATATTACTGTTCTTTGTCTTCGCTGACCACCTCGACCTCTTTTCACATGAACTCTTCCTCTCAGACTTCTATCCATTGTAGGGCCTCACAAACCAGTGCTCTCTGAACTGGCTTACTGTATATGTTCCCTCACATCATTAGCCACAAGTGTCATCAATTTCGAGTTGTTGTGTTCAAGTGGTGACAACTGTGCTTTAGTTGTGTTTGACTTTTGTCATCTGTGCTCACCATTATGCAGCACGGGTGCATCACAATGAAAAAGTGTTGACAAGTTGTGTCTAAACAGGTGAAAAGTGCTTATGGTTTCGCCAAAAGAGTGATTGATTCAATCAGTGGGTTTAGGCAACTGAGAATTTGGTTCAGACAATAGGCTTTAGTGTTTTAGCAATTGAGAAAAACTGTAATCTGCACGCGCAAACATTTACAATCTGTTATCTTGTCGGGAGGCTCCTGAGGCGCAATCGGTTAGCGCGCGGTACTTATACAGCAGTATGCAGCAGAGCGATGCCGAGGTTGTGAGTTCGAGCCTCACCTGGAGCAGTGGTATTTTTTAAACCAGTTTTTTGAATCTGCACGCACAAACATTTACAATCTGTTTGACTGTCACGAGGCTCCTGTGGTGCGCACGGTACTAATACAGCAGTATGCAGCAGAGCGACGCCGAGGTTGTGAGTTCCAGCCTCACCTGGAGCAGTGCTACTTTTTAAACCAGTTTTTTTTGCAGTTTTTCTCGATTGCTGAGACACATTTCTTGAAAGGTGCTCTCATTTTCTCTAAACTGTGAGCACAAAACCCAATTTTTAGCTACATTCACAAAACATCAGGCTCTTCTTGCAAAACCAAACTTTCACCTCAAAACAGTTCAATCTGTGCTCAAAACTGAACTATGTTGTCAAATCGTGTCCCGAGTCAATCAAAATTAAAAACACAACTGAACAGTCACTAAACACTACGTAGAAAAATGGAAAACACAATGGACAGGACATGAAGCTGAAGAAATAAATGTTTGTTGTTCACTGTAGGCTAAATGCATGTTGCAAAAAAAAAACCCCGGTGCATTTACTGTAGCACTTGTACAAAAAGATAAAACATTAATCTTGTGCATGTACACGTAGCACTCGGATTATGCTGGACAAAGTGAATCTACTGCTGTTTGGTTGTACCCTTTGTCCAGCCTCCCTCATGGTCATACCATGAACAAGAACATGGTCAATCACAGTAGCTCTGATTTTATCAGATATTACTGTTCTTTGTCTTCGCTGACCACCTCGACCTCTTTTCACATGAACTCTTCCTCTCAGACTTCTATCCATTGTAGGGCCTCACAAACCAGTGCTCTCTGAACTGGCTTACTGTATATGTTCCCTCACATCATTAGCCACAAGTGTGATCAATTTCGAGTTGTTGTGTTCAAGTGGTAACAACTGTGCTTTAGTTGTGTTTGACTTTTGTCATCTGTGCTCACCATTATGCAGCACGGGTGCATCACAATGAAAAAGTGTTGACAAGTTGTGTCTAAACAGGTGAAAAGTGCTTATGGTTTCGCCAAAAGAGTGATTGATTTAATCAGTGGGTTTAGGCAACTGAGAATTTGGTTCAGACAATAGGCTTTAGTGTTTTAGCAATTGAGAAAAACTGTAATCTGCACGCACAAACATTTACAATCTGTTATCTTGTCGGGAGGCTCCTGTGGCGCAATCGGTTAGCGCACGGTATACAGCAGTATGCAGCAGAGCGATGCCGAGGTTGTGAGTTCCAGCCTCACCTGGAGCAGTGCTCTTTTTTAAACCAGTTTTTTTTGCAGTTTTTCTCGATTGCTAAGACACATTTCTTGAAAGGTGCTCTCATTTTCTCTAAACTGTGAGCACAAAACCCAATTTTTAGCTACATTCACAAAACATCAGGCTCTTCTTGCAAAACCAAACTTTCACCTCAAAACAGTTCAATCTGTGCTCAAAACTGAACTATGTTGTCAAATCGTGCCCCGAGTCAATCAAAATTAAAAACACAACTGAACAGTCACTAAACACTACGTAGAAAAATGGAAAATACAATGGACAGGACATGAAGCTGGAGAAATAAATGTTTGTTGTTCACTGTAGGCTAAATGCATGTTGCAAAAAAAAACGGTGCATTTACTGTAGCACTTGTACAAAAAGACAAAACATTAATCTTGTGCATTTACACGTAGCACTCGGATTATGCTGGACACAGTGAATCTACTGATGTTTGGTTGTACCCTTTGTCCAGCCTCCCTCATGGTCATACCATGAACAAGAACATGGTCAATCACAGTAGCTCTGATTTCATCAGATATTACTGTTCTTTGTCTTCGCTGACCACCTCGACCTCTTTTCACATGAACTCTTCCTCTCAGACTTCTATCCATTGTAGGGCCTCACAAACCAGTGCTCTCTGAACTGGCTTACTGTATATGTTCCCTCACATCATTAGCCACAAGTGTGATCAATTTTGAGTTGTTGTGTTCAAGTGGTGACAACTGTGCTTTAGTTGTGTTTGACTTTTGTCATCTGTGCTCACCATTATGCAGCACGGGTGCATCACAATGAAAAAGTGTTGACAAGTTGTGTCTAAACAGGTGAAAAGTGCTTATGGTTTCGCCAAAAGAGTGATTGATTCAATCAGTGGGTTTAGGCAACTGAGAATTTGGTTCAGACAATAGGCTTTAGTGTTTTAGCAATTGAGAAAACTGTAATCTGCACGCGCAAAACATTTACAATCTGTTATCTTGTCGGGAGGCTCCTGTGGCGCAATCGGTTAGCGCGCGGTACTTATACAGCAGTATGCAGCAGAGCGATGCCGAGGTTGTGAGTTCGAGCCTCACCTGGAGCAGTGGTATTTTTAAACCAGTTTTTCGAATCTGCACGCACAAACATTTACAATCTGTTTGACTGTCACGAGGCTCCTGTGGTGCGCACGGTACTAATACAGCAGTATGCAGCAGAGCGACGCCGAGGTTGTGAGTTCCAGCCTCACCTGAGCAGTGATACTTTTTAAACCAGTTTTTTTTGCAGTTTTTCTCGATTGCTAAGACAAATTTCTTGAAAGGTGCTCTCATTTTCTCTAAACTGTGAGCACAAAACCCAATTTTAGCTACATTCACAAAACATCAGGCTCTTCTTGCAAAATCAAACTTTCACCTCAAAACAGTTCAATCTGTGCTCAAAACTGAACTATGTTGTCAAATCGTGTCCCGAGTCAATCAAAATTAAAAACACAACTGAACAGTCACTAAACACTACGTAGAAAAATGGAAAACACAATGGACAGGACATGAAGCTGAAGAAATAAATGTTTGTTGTTCACTGTAGGCTAAATGCATGTTGCAAAAAAAAAAAACCCCGGTGCATTTACTGTAGCACTTGTACAAAAGATAAAACATTAATCTTGTGCATGTACACGTAGCACTTTCGGATTATGCTGGACAAAGTGAATCTACTGCTGTTTGGTTGTACCCTTTGTCCAGCCTCCCTCATGGTCATACCATGAACAAGAACATGGTCAATCACAGTAGCTCTGATTTTATCAGATATTACTGTTCTTTGTCTTCGCTGACCACTGTTATGGAATTTTATGATCACTCAAGAAGTTTATTAACATGTAAGTCCTATAGATGTTGTTTAGGCCAAAAGGCACAGAGGAAAGAATGTTTAGGATAAGTTTCATGATAGGAGACATCTGTCTATTGACCTATTGACCTCTAGAAAGGTCCTGGGGAGGAAATAGATGTCACTAAGTAACTTTGCGGTGCCGGCCTGGCTGGTAGGAATTGTAACTGACCTCCCTTGACTTGACTGGGGAGTGACCCTCGGGTTTTCCTGACAGCTCCATATGTCATGTTTATTATCCTATAGTTTGGTGAGATCTTCTAAGGACCTCGTCTGTTCTCCATCATCTCTGTTTAGGTTGGTGTGTCAATGAGTGTGCGTAATCTTCATTCCTTTAAATACCCCTGCAGAAGTTGTAATCATTAGGTCAGTCTGATCCAGCACAGGTTATTGTCCTGTTGTCTGATGAAGACTTTCCTCAAACCCATTCTTCAAGCTTGCTATAGGGATTGATCTGATCAATGCAAAAGCTTAAACCTGTATTTGAGAAATGGTTTCTTACTTGCAATTAAACCTGTTAAAAGTGTCAAACTGTAACATACTCTCGTGCGTCTTACTTTAAGTTCAAATTCAGCGATTAAAGTCTAAAATTTCCACGACACTTGGGGGCATCGTCCGAGATTCTTAACAAAGTAATCCGTATTTTTTCCAAAACAGGCTACATATCCTAAAGAGCGATATAATTTTTAAATTTTTTTTGAAAAAATAACAGGCCAGGACTGTCTTTGGAGATATGTGATTCTATACAGAATTTTGAAACTCAAGGACCTAAAAATGCTGAATTGGGACAATGTTGGACGACAGTTTGACAACGGTTTTGATAAATTAACAAAATAGACTCGTTAATTTTGACTTAATTCGTAAGGTTATTGTAATATTTTAAAGTTCTCTTAGAAATGGAAAACAGTACTTCTAATCGGGTATTTGTTGATTTTGGTCTGGTAAAACGTGCACGTCAGGAATTATTAATTTCTGCAGCTCCAATCCTCCTCAACAAATGGGTGAGTGGAGAGCGCCAGACTGGAGCAATATTTACCTGTATGAAGTGTTAATACCTGTATACAGTAGGAATAAAATGCTGTTCAATATAGGTTATCTGGGTGCGGTGAGACAGATCGGTTATTCAGGATATCTCACTTAAAAGAACTGACGAGTTCATTAACACGTATAGGACCCTTCATTATATGCTAAAATTAGATTTTGCGTCTTAAATATCGATAACAACATGGGTAATTACATGTGTATTGGTAAACCTTCGGTGGATACTGAACGTTACGTTGTTGGACCGGCTAAAATAATGACAGATAATACGGAGACTGGACATGCGAACAGTTAGACCTGTGGGAGTTATTGGGATTTCCTGCTCATGGCAGCTTTAGTCAGAGACAGATACTGTTGTTGAAAGACAAGTTGGAGGATTTTGAACAGGGTAAAATTAAGGTTTCACGGGGTAATCGGCAGAAAGTAGATTGGAAGGCATATAATAAGTGGAGAGAGCAGACTGATATACGGGCTAAGCGGTGTAGCACGGGGCTTGTTAATCGGTGTGTTCTAGCTTGTCCCAACCAGGTTGATGCTGCCTGTCCTCCTGCTGACCGACCCCCACCCTATCGCGGCGTTACCACAACAGCCCCAGCGGTACCAACTATGCCAACAGCATCGGACCTGGTGGAAAACATTCGCGGAGGAGGACTCTACCCATCCGTATTCGGCCTCGACAGAGTTTCACACGCCGCTGAGAGGACCCAGAGTACTACTGCGGCCTGTCCCAGAGAACAACACAGCATTGATGCCGGGCAATTCCCTATGGTGGAGGTAGCCAACCCAGCTGGTGGAGGAGACACGGATAACCCAGCGACTATACTAGTCTACAGACCGTGGTCACCCGCCGACCTGAGAGACGTGGCTTCTACACTACCTGACCCAGAAACAGAAGGTGGAGAGGAATTTGTCCGTGTGTTTCTACAGATCGTGAATCAATATAGACCGACCTCTGTGGAGATTGAAACAATTTTGATGAAGGCCTTGCAACTAAAATGGGGGAGAGTGAAAAGAAACTGGCCTAGCGAGAGAAACATTATGTTCAATTGGGATGCGCACTCTAACTACCGGAGTGCGGTGGAACAGCTGAGCACTGGACTTATCGCTGCTTTTCCTAAGCGAATGAACTGGGAAAAGATCTCTGATTGTAAACAGACACTGGGCGAGAAAGTTTCAGACTACAGGAATAGACTCGAAAAGCTTTTGAATTACACAGCGGAATGGGAAAGAGACCGACGGTGATGAAGAGTCGGCCTGGGAGCAACAGTGTAAAATGAGGTTAGTTGCAGGCCTTCTACCAGACATTAGGAAGCACATTCAAAACCACTGTGTAGACCTGGATGAGGGTCGCATGGAAACCGTCTGGCCGTATTTTAAGCACGCTGAAAGAGTCTACGAGGACCAGCTGTACAAACAGACCGAAGAAAGACGGAGCGTGAAACGCAAATTCAGATGGCCCAACTGGAGTTCTACAGCAGAGGCTACTCAGGACGGAGACGGAGACGGAGAGCAAGCAGGAGAGGACAATACAGACACCAGGGTGATGTTAACTACAGACACCAGAGGGGTGATACCTACAGACTCCAGGGTGATAACTCCAGCCAAAGTCCCAACTCTGATAGCTGTTTCAACTGTGGTGCATTTGGACACTGGGCTCGTGACTGCACTGTGCCGGACACTAGAGACTATTACCATGGGAACAGAGACAGTATAGGAGATGGTGATGGCACAACAGCAGACGACCAACTGGAGCGTCACAGGACCCATGGCTGCCACAGACAGGGGTACTGACGGTCAGAGGGGACGGGCAGGAAAAACATCAACCCGGTGAGATCAAACCATTATGTTATCCTGTAATTAATCAATTATGATAGTATTTACAGTTAAAGTAATTTTGTTCGGATGTTTAGTGAAGACTTGCTTATTCTGAGTTTTGAGTTGATATGCAGACGTATGGTTGTGTGAGATTTTCGTTCCACTGGGGAGGAGTACGGGTGTCTCGGCACTATGCTTACGCTTAAAGTTAGGTGTTTAGCGTAGTGTAGCGTACATTGCGTATCGCCTGATAAACGGGGTTTGTCAGGTCCGTGCAGCTCGGGAGCG